AGAGGGCTCCTATCAGGCGTGCGGTGCCGCCCACAGAGCATCCTCCATTACTTTTACTCTCCTTTGATAAGGCCTAGGCCTAGGCCTCGCTAGGCCTAGGCTAGACGCGACGCGCTTCGCTGTCGATACCGCGCCTGGTTATATTTAGCTCGCGTCTCAGCGGTCACGTTCGCAAATTATGCACTGTTGTCACGGACCGCGAGGCCTCGTTTCCTGTCTCTATATTTTAGAGTCTCTGATTAGCCTAATTGTTTACGCTTCGCTTTTTAAAAAGGAAGTGTCTAGGCAGTCCCCAATTGGGGTTTACGTAGTCATGGTGTCTAGGTGGACCCCAAAAATGTTGGATTGTGATTGGCTCGCTGAGCAAGCGGTAGTTTACATTGGTTACAATGCAAGGCTAGCCTACTGATCATCTCGGGCGGTGTGTCTATCTACTGTTACTAGATCTAGATCTAGATAAATAACCAAGATTTAAAAAAAAAAAATGTTACCTGTGAAAACGATGTTTGAGATTCGAGATTGAGGACTCTCCACATTGTGAAATAAAGAGCATGAGCCTTTCGTTAGCTTACTGACAAAAAGGCCGCCTGCACGACTCGACTAGATCCTGTCCCCATTCCCCATGTATGAATCAAGTTGCATGATAGGCCTGGTGTGTCCGACAATTCACAGGAAAGTGTAGTCAAGAGTCGCTCTTCGGTTATTCGCCCACCAGGCCACCACTAGATCTAAATCTAAAATCTAGCTTTAGACTATCTATTTTCCCAACTGCACACTCTTGGCTGGGTGCACAACAAAATCTAGTTCTAGATACATGTATTCATTAAATACTCTCTCTCTCTCTCTCTCTCTCTCTCTCTCTCTCTCTCTCTCTCTCTCTCTCTCTTTCTCTCTCTTCTCTCTCTCTCTCTCTTCTCTCTCTCTCTCTCTGTGTGGGCTAAAATAAAATAATTATAGTAACACTAAATCTGGACTCTAGCTAGACACACCGCCCGAGATGGTCAGTAGCCTTGCATTGTAACCAATGTAAACTACCGCTTGCTCAGCGAGCCAATCACAATCCAACATTTTTGGGGTCCACCTAGACACCTTGACTACGTAGACCCCAATTGGAGACTACCTAGACACTTCATCATCGCTTTTCTAGCTGTGTGAGTGTGTAGATGTGTGTGTGAGTGTATGTATGTGTGTGTGTGTGTGTGTGTGTGTGTGTGTGTATGTGTGTGTGTGTGTGTGTGTGTTTATGTGCGTTCGTGTGTTTGTGAAGGTGTGTGCATCCTTTTGCATTTGCAGGTTTGTTTTTTGTTTTCTTTTTTTCTGGGTTTTTCTTT